AGACACACCACATATTCACCCAAAACCTAAAGGATAATAGGTGTATGAGTTCTCTCATTTATAAATGCTCAAGTTTCCACTTTTCTAATCAATGTGAGATTTCCTCACACTTTGTTTCTCAACATTTCTACCTCACTTTTGTTTTTATCAACATGTAATACTATTTAACAAACATACTTACATATTATATTACTATTTAACAAATTGAATGAATCACTTCTTGTATTAATACATTAATGAACAGTGAATATATGAATAGAATAGTAAATGAATCTTGTAACTGTATTATTATGCATGAACAATTACAGAGAAAAAATAACAAATCGAAAATAACAAACTGATAGCGGAAAGTTATCAACCCTTAAGCACATAACTCACCAATATGGTCATCCTTAATCCTAACAGAATACCTAAATACCTTATTTCTTCCCTTCCTTTCCAATTTTATAGTCACAAACTTATATGATTATTCTCTATCTTCCTTCCATATTTCACAGTAAAAAACTCATATAACTATTCTTTCTCTTCATTCCCTACTTTATAGTAACAAGTCGCAACCCATTATACCAACCACATTTCTATAAACTCCCACTTTCATAGGATTAAAAGTAGGGGTGGGAAACAGACATGCCCGCCCCGTTTTGGCCCATCCTGCAAATGCCCGCAAAAAAACGGGGCGGGCGGGGGATCATAGTTAAGGATGCGAGCCTAAATCCTAGGTCCACCCTGCAAAAAAAGTGAGGGTAGGACGGGGAAAGCCCGCCGACACTGCACCTTTTAAACTTAAAAATGAAATTTTTTATGTAAACGCTCGTGCCCGCTAAAGCCCGCGAAGAAAACGGGGTGGGGAAGAAACATTAGAGGGTGAGGGCCTAAATCCCTGTCCCACCCTGCACTAAAGTGCGGGTAAAATGGGCATGCCAAACGGGCCAGACCCGTTTTGCCACCCCTAATTAAAAGTGTCCTCAAGTCCAAATTTAGGAAACTCACCATGTAGAAACTCACTATCTTGCCATGTTACATCATCAATAGACTTATTCTTCCATTGGATCAAACTCTGGTGAACTACATTACCTTTCTTACTAGTGGTCATTGAGCTAAACATCTTGTTTTGATACACATATGCAACTTTTGTAACCTTTAATTTTCTAGGTAATTCCTATTGTCCTTCCAACATCTTTCTCTCTCTCTCTCTCTCTCTCTCTCTCTCTCTCTCTCTCTCTCTCTCTCTCTCTCTCTCTCTCTCTCTCTCTCTCTCTCTCTCTCTCTCTCTCTCCATGCAAGAACTGCATAGTCAAGGTCTTCTAGTCCATTACCACCTGACCTAGTGTTGACAACCAAGACACTTCCAAGACCATATATAGGCCTCCGAACTGAATAACCATAGCATCCGCAGTTACCACACATGATCTTAGGTTAATTATGATCCCTATACATATTCTCAATGAAATCACCTTATGTCCATCACCCAACTTGATGTTCCTAGCAACAATATGAGTAACTTAAGACCTAATGCAATTGTAACCTTAGGGAAATAAAATTGTGGCTAACACCACTATCCACCAACACCACAACATCCAAATTCATCAACTTCCCTTATACATTTGTGGTATGAAACTCTCTTGCGCTCCTCATAACTCAAATTAGCTTACATTCCACCTATTCTTATTACTGAACATCAGAATTAAGAGCCTCTATAACAATGATTTCCCATTCATTCACATACTCTTCTTCCTCCAAAATCAACATTCTCATGGATTTCTCTAGGTATTTATGAAGTGTTGGGTAGAACTTATCCCCCCCCCCCCCCCACACACACACTTAAAACAAATCCCTTTTTATCCTCTTTCACTCATCTCGTCTTTCGGAATGCTTCAAACCTCTTCCCATTTATCTGAGGAATTCAATTGGCGATCACCTTTTATTTTCAGTTCTGTTGAAAGCATTGAAGACATGAAATGTTAGGTAGAACCTACCTAACTTATTTTTTGGGTCAGGTTTAACCAACTTGAATTTGAGGACTTATTGGAATTAAAAATGGGATTTGGCCGATTTAGTGTCTTTTCTAAAGGCCCAGTCCAATCACCACGATTACCACACTACTTCCCAACTTCTTCATACACCTCATTTCCCCCACAATCGTCTTCCTAATTTAGTTCATCTACAACTTCTTTTGCTACCCTCGTCATTTGCATCCCCGTCCCTAGATTTAATGCACACGGTGTTCGAATATGGGGTTTAAACCAAAATATTGCTTCTTCCGTAACCTCCCCATTTGTGATGATAATAGCTCTAAGCTTCAAAAAAACTCATCCACACCATATGTTTGATGTAATATTGATAATTCTTCAAATGAATTATCTTTCCTTCAACCGTCATAATGCGCCATCAAAGATATCTCTAGCTTCTCCCATGAAAGGTCATCCTCTATTTCTAACAGCAAATTAAATTAATGGATGTTGGATCCTTCCATGCTCAATCGAGACATTTTCACATGTATCTCATCTGATGTATTATAAAGATTGAAATAAATCCCAACTCGCGTGATCCAAGCCATCGGATCACAACCATGAAATAAAGGAAGCTTCACCTTTTTCCCGGCAAGACGTGATTCGCTTTGTGACGAATCACCAAAAAATGTCTCAGCTTTCCTGCGTTACTCCTTTCTTACCAATCTCTTTGCTCAATTCAATCAACACAACACTCTGTTGTTACATCTGTAGAGCTAGCTCATGCAGAGTCGTTGTCGCATTCCTTTTCTGTGTCTCCAAAGCTTTTATATGGTCACCTATCTTAGGTTTCCTTGGCATTTACAAACTTCGTCATAATGTGGTTTTTGATCCGACATGTTAGACTAATTAATGGGGACTTATATGAATATATGAGTGAACAATGAATATATGAATAGAATAGTAAAGAAATTATGTAATTGTATTATTATGGATTAATAATTACAAAGAAATAATGACATAATAAAAATAACAACCTAATAGTGGAAAACTATCCTCCCTTAAACACGTAGTGCTTTCCTCACTAAAATGGTGATTCTTAATCCTAACAAAATGCCTAGATACCTTATTCCATCCATTTATTTCCTATTTTATAGTTACAAACTTAAATAATTATTCTCTCTCTTCCTTCCCTATTTTATAATATCAAACTCATATAATTATAATAACAAACTCAAATAATTACTCTCTCTTCCCTATGTTATGGTAACAAATCACAACCCACCATACCAACCACATTTTTATCATATATCTTGCGTCAAATGCAAAAATTGAGAGACAATAAAGAAAACTAAATAAATATAATAAGAGTCTCACATGAACATATGTTTATAAGTGGAGAAAGAGGAAAATTCTCACCTTACAAATTAGTTTTATAAGAACGAGTTAGACTCAACTCTAAATCTAATATGATATCACATTCATGTTCATGATGTGTTGGACTGTCTGCTATTAGGTTTCTTCTATCGGTCACCTACCATTTATATTTACGAACCAAATCCAATAATGTTAGGCGAATGAGGTGTATTAAGAAATATAATATGGTTATAAAGGCAACTTCATGACTTGTTGAATCACACTATATCAGATTTTTGCTATAAAATCACCAACTGTTTATATTCACGCATCAAACTTAATAGTGTGACAAAGAAAATATGTTAAGAGATCCAAATCGAACATTATATGACATGACCATACATCTATAAGTGGAAGAAAAACCATCACATTATCAACGATTTTGTAAGAATGAATTATAATTAACTTTAAATCTAATAAAATAAAAGAGGGAGATTAAAAAATATATACTCCCCCATCACTCTTATAATAACAGCAAAATAAAAACTTAAAAATTAAAGTGAGTGCAAAAGTGAAAGAAAGAACAAATATAAGAGGATTCAAATCTATATCCCCTAACTACTAACTACTCAACTAGTATTAAGATTGTTGTGATACACAAAATCATTCATTGTTTGACAATCAAAACAATATGTAGTTTATATATTACACAAAAATCATTCATTGTTTGATAATAAAAACAATGTATAGTTTAAATATCATATGTACACTCTTTTACATTTAAAAAAAAAAAAATCATGACGAATTCTCACACTTGATAGATAAAGTAGTCAAAGAATTTGAAGTTGATGAAATATAATCATATTAAAAGTTGAACTCATTTTGTTTAATTTCATGAGTTGCATAAAAATAACAAACATATAGTATAAAACAATAATGTAACATAACCATATATCATAACTAGTTACACTAGTTAGTGAGAGTGTCTTTATACTAGTATGTCCCATTTCCCCACAAACTCTCACAGATAATGGCATAGCAAAACTGCAAAGATAGCGACATCTGAGAATCAAAAGTTAAATCCAATGACACACCACACCTCACTGTACACTCATATTTACTACTCTCATCTGAATCACAATCTCATACCACCACTAGCATATGCATATAACAGTTTAGAGAGAGAGAAAATAAACCAAAATGTAAAAAAGAAAGAGAGAGAGAAAGAAAGAGGTATTGCTGCAGAGTTGCAGGTTTTTAGCAGAAATGGTGGCAGATGGTTTTTTAACTTTACATGTGAAATTATTTTTCTCTCTTATTATTATTATCTTTCATCTTCTTGTGTGGTTTTCCTAGCTGCTATGAGAGACTAGTGCTGTTTCTGTCACAGAAACTACGATGTGATTGAACATCTAAAGCTTTCTTCAGTTATTATTATCTTTATTGCAACACATTGCTTCATTCTCAAACGTTGAAAATCCAACTCTTTTTTCATATTCACACAAAAAGCTATAATATATGGAGAATTCACAGAAGAATACTTTCAAACTCTCTTCAGTTTACCCTTTCAATGGTGCCTAGTGAGTGCTACTTTTGAAGAAGTAGCATAGCATTTGTGATAACACCTCACCCTTTTCTTCTAGTGTTCATTCATACACAAGAGGTTGTTGGGTTGGTTCATCTTTTGTTGCAGCTATGGCATTTCAATTTGGAGTACTCTTTCTTCTTGTTTTGTTCATTTGTTTCAATGTCAATTCTGTGGATTCAGATGATGGTGAGTTTCTAGTTTTTACTTTTTTTGTTGTATTTTGGAATGGAGATAACTTAACAGTATTCAAAGATGAAACTTTGCCTACAAGTTGTGGCTTTTTTGAATTGTGGTTTGTCATTGTTTCAAAGCTTAATCTTCCATGTGCCTTTTTCTTTATTTTTGGTGAAGGGTATTGGACAAAACACTTAAAGATTGAATTTTTAATTTGGTTTCTTTATCCCCAACCAAATGGGTTATTCCTTATCCATTTTCTAATAGTCCCTATTTTTTATTTGTTAAAAAGTCGGCACTTTTTTTTTCTTTGTAGAATATCATATAACTTGGTTATGGTTTGGATCTTGTCAATTTTCTTTCAATACTGTTTGCAACTTCAACTATGCTGGCATAGATTATTGTGCTTCTCCTATTTGATAAAAAGTTTCATTTGATTGAAGGGTCAACATTGTTGGATATAAAGAAGTCATTCAGGGATGTGGATAATGTTCTATATGATTGGACTGACTCATCAACATCAGATTATTGTGCTTGGAGAGGAATTTCATGTGATAATGTCACCTTCAATGTTGTTGCACTGTGAGTTTTCTTGGACATTGTTTATAATCTAAACTAATTTTCTTCACCTTTTTATGTCAGTGAATAACAATGCATTTCTATTATTGTTGCAGTAATCTTTCTGGGCTGAATCTTGATGGTGAAATCTCGCCTTCGATCGGGAATCTTAAGAGCTTGGTCTCTATGTAAGTCTTGCTATCTTTTAGATTTGTTTCTTGTTAATTCATTGTGGTTTTGCTTATCACTTTTGTTACTTGTTTGATACAGTGATTTAAAAGAGAACCGGTTATCAGGTCAGATACCAGATGAGATTGGTGACTGTTCTTTGTTGCAAGACTTGTATGTTTCATATAACAACCAGATGAAGTGAATTCAGTCAAATGTTCTTTGACCTCATTGTGACTTATTTTGTACTTAACTGGTTCATTGTGTTCTCAGGGACTTGTCATTTAACGAAATTCGGGGTGATATACCATATTCGATTTCAAAGCTGAAACAATTAGAGAATCTGTGAGTGTTTGTTTTTGTTTGTTAGCATAGAAATCTCGGTTTGCGTAGGACTAGTTTGTGACGGATCTTTTGTCTTTTGTTTTTTTAGGATTTTGAAGAATAATCAATTGATTGGACCAATTCCTTCAACATTGTCACAGATTCCTAATTTGAAGAATCTGTAAGTTATTTTTAGTATTTTTCACTACTTTCCTCACAAGACTAATTATAGATTCTGCTACAAACTTTCTTATTTCTTCGAGTATAAATTTTAGGGACCTGGCACAAAATAATCTAAGTGGTGAAATACCAAGGCTTATATACTGGAATGAAGTTTTGCAATATCTGTAAGTATAATTAATACGTATGAAACTATCGTTATCATTTCGGTGAAGTATTAATTCATGTTACTATCATAAATAACAGTGGCTTACGAGGGAACAACTTGGTTGGTTCATTATCTCCAGACATGTGTCAGTTAACTGCCTTGTGGTATTTGTAAGTGACACTCGATTTCTTTTCATGCCAAGTCCTTGAATTGTTTAATTCGTTAAGAATACCGTGATAATTTTTTTCATATACTATGCAGTGATGTGAGAAACAATAGCCTAACCGGAAGTATTCCCGAAAACATAGGCAACTGCACTTCCTTCCAAGTCTTGTATGTATTAGATTCTATTCTATGCCTCGCTTTGTGATTCATTGGATTATTTTCTTGTTACATTTTTGACATCTTATGTTAATCCAGGGATTTATCTTACAACCAGTTGACTGGAGAAGTTCCGTTCAATATCGGGTTTCTACAAATCGCAACCTTGTATGTATTCCATATTTATATAGCCCTTTTCATTCACTTCCTTATATGGGAATCATTCAATGGATTTGTTTGAAACTTGTAGGTCGTTGCAAGGGAATAAACTCTCCGGGCATATTCCATCAGTGCTTGGTCTCATGCAAGCACTCGCTGTGTTGTAAGCACTCTTTTCTTACTAGATTCTGAAATGTATATAATATTGGTCATTATTTTGATTTTATCCGAATTTCATATCCAGAGACTTGAGCTGTAACATGTTAACTGGATCTATCCCTCCTATTTTGGGTAATTTGACTTACACTGAAAAATTGTAAGTATCCATAATTTGTGTCTAATAGCATCAACAACTTTTCAAAAAAAAATCTAGATTTTCATACTGTGAAGCGCACTATATATGAAATGTTTGCAGGTACTTGCATGGTAATAAGCTGACTGGTTTCATCCCTCCGGAGCTTGGAAATATGTCAAAGCTTCATTATTTGTAAGATGCTTAAGCTAGAAGTTACCTGGAATTCTCAAATAGTCAATAATGCACGTGACATTACGATGTTTGTTTTGCTTGGTTTCTGCTAATCATCAACTTATGCTATCTTGTAGGGAGTTGAATGATAATAATCTAAGTGGACATATCCCGCCGGAGCTTGGAAAGCTTACTGATCTTTTTGACTTGTAAGTGTTGTTTCTTTGAAATTTCATTATTTTGATTTTGTTGACGTATCACGAGTCATACCTTTTCTTTCTTGCAGAAATGTTGCTAACAACAACCTTGAGGGGCCAATTCCCGGTAACATTAGCTCGTGTAAAAACCTTAACAGCCTGTAAGCAATCAAACCTAAACTGTTGAATTGTTGCAAGGTCTTTTAGAATATTCACTAATGTTATGGATTCTTCTCTTCTCAGAAATGTGCACGGGAATAAGCTGAATGGAACAATACCCTCTACTTTCCAGAGCTTGGAGAGTATGACCTCTTTGTAAGTTCCTTGTCATTTGTTTGAACCAATTAATCTTCAAGTTCAACCAATTAATCTTTTCCATAATTTGATCAATTGCTTATTGTAATGATCATCTGTAGGAATCTTTCGTCGAACAACCTTCAAGGCTCCATTCCAATTGAACTGTCACGGATCGGTAATTTGGATACATTGTAAGTATGAACTAAATTATTTGTTAATTTCTTTTTCTCGAGAAGCCTATATCCCCAACACTAAGTTATCTTTTTTCCAGGGATATTTCCAACAATGAATTAATCGGACCAATTCCTCCTTCCCTCGGTGACTTGGAACATCTTCTGAAGCTGTGAGTTACCTTCGTAGTTACTATCTTAGAATCTGAACTGAACTGTTTTCTGTTACTAATTACTTCTATCTTTTTCGTTAGGAACCTGAGCAGAAATGGTTTAACAGGACCTATACCAGCAGAGTTTGGTAATCTCAAAAGTGTAATGGATATGTAAGTCGATTATTATTTTCTGGTAAAAACTAACACAAACAGTTTATCTGATTTCTTCTCCTCAAGTTAGACCGACTATTTGTCTTTATCTTGCAGTGATCTTTCCCATAACCAACTCTCCGATTTTATTCCTGTAGAACTTAGTCAGCTTCAGAATATAGGATCATTGTAAGCTTCTTTCATATTTTTCAGTATTCACTCAAAGTTCTTATCGAATTTTCTTTTCTCATTCTAATTTTATTGGTTTGAAATAATACATAGGAGGCTTGAATACAATGACTTAACCGGGGACGTGGCGTCGCTTGTAAATTGTCTTAGTCTTTCTCTGCTGTAAGTTTAGTCTTTATTAAAACTAATTTTGCTGTGATATTGTCTTACATACCGTGTCACCTTAACCTAATAAGTTAAATATCTATCGTAAACTTTTCAGTAATGTGTCCTATAACAATCTAGTTGGTCTTATTCCCACAAACAACAACTTTACCAGATTTTCACCGGACAGGTAAGGTGTATTAATTGTTTAAGTTACAAAAAAAATGTGATTCAGTCGGTTATCAATGTGTTCTACTCGATTAGTTGATTGATACAATCTTTAATTTGCAGTTTCATTGGAAATTCTGGTCTTTGTGGCAATTGGCTGAATTATCCATGTCAAGGTTCTCACCCTTCAGATCGAGGTACGCTGAACTTTTCATGAGAACTATGTTTGGAAGGTGCGATAATATTATGAGATGTAGCTTCTCAATGTGTTTTCTTTATCATGCAGTTACGTTATCTAAGGCGGCTATTCTAGGAATTACACTCGGTGCCCTTGTCATTCTTCTGATGATACTTCTGGCTGCTTGCCGACCACACCATCCAGCTCCATATCCTGATGGATCACTCGAAAAACCAGGTGACAAAACATGTAATTCTTCTTATCCTGGTCGCATCTTTAACAGATTTTTTCATCATTCTCATTATCAACATTGATATTTATAAGCTTCTGACTGCATGAACTTGGAAATTGACAGTTACTTTCTCACCTCCAAAGCTAGTGATTCTTCATATGAACATGGCACTTCATGTCTATGATGATATCATGAGAATGACTGAAAACTTGAGTGAGAAGTATATAATTGGAAGTGGTGCGTCAAGTACAGTTTATAAATGCGTTCTTAAAAATTGCAAGCCAGTTGCCATCAAGAGGCTCTATTCTCACTATCCACAATACTTAAAAGAATTTGAAACTGAACTTGGAACCGTCGGAAGCATTAAGCACCGGAATCTGGTTAGTCTTCAAGGCTACTCTCTGTCTCCTTATGGCCACCTTCTCTTTTATGACTACATGGAAAATGGCAGTCTATGGGATCTTCTTCATGGTAAGTTGACATCGTATTTTGAATGATGCACACATGATTTTGCAATCTATTTAGAGGCGTTAGTTTCATAACTTATAGCACTGACATGGATACTTGACACAACATTGACACTATTTTTCATTTGGAATGTTGCTTTGATTATGCTATTTATCTTACGTTCAGGACAAAGTAAGAAGAAAAAACTTGATTGGCATTTGCGTCTAAAAATAGCGCTAGGAGCAGCACAAGGACTTGCATATTTACACCATGATTGCAGTCCTCGCATCATACATAGGGACGTGAAATCGTCAAATATTTTACTAGATGCAGATTTTGAGCCTCATCTAACTGATTTTGGCATTGCCAAAAGTCTCTGCCCTACTAAGTCTCATACTTCCACTTACATAATGGGCACCATTGGCTACATAGACCCTGAGTATGCCCGAACTTCCCGACTCACTGAGAAATCCGATGTCTACAGCTATGGCATTGTTTTACTTGAATTGCTAACCGGAAGAAAAGCCGTTGACAATGAATCCAATCTCCATCATCTAGTAAGTTTTTCTTCTCTACTAGCTTAGTGTACTATATGAGAAATTACTCTCATTCGACATTGGAATTTGTATGAATGAAATTTAAGGGAATTGCTAACTATTTTTGGAATCTGTTGCGTATTTATTGTCTTGCTCCTACATTGTCTGCCTGATTCCATTATCACATAAATTTGATATTGACTATCTTAATTTTACGCAGATTTTGTCCAAGACAGCTAGCAATGCAGTAATGGAAACGGTTGATCCCGACATAACTGCCACATGCAAGGACCTAGGAGCAGTCAAGAAAGTTTTTCAGCTTGCTCTACTATGCTCAAAGAGACAACCAGCCGATAGGCCAACAATGCACGAAGTATCGCGTGTATTAGGAAGTCTCGTCCCATCAGTCACACCACCGAAACAACTGAACCTTCCACAGGTTGCATCTAACCCGTCTGCCAAAGTTCCGTGTTACATGGACGAGTACGCAAATCTCAAGACACCACACTTGGTGAACTGTCCTTCCATGAGCACCTCAGATGCTCAACTCTTCCTCAAGTTCGGAGAAGTAATCTCTCAGAACAGCGAGTGACGATTTTGAAAGAATCAGTTACCAGTTATTAACTAGTTATCAGTTATTAGCTATCAACTATCAAATTCAGGAGTCATATCATGTATATTAAAAATCTCAAAAAGAAAAATGGGATATGAAATTTGATGAAGCATTGAAATATGTGTATAAAATTTTTAGTATTTTAGTGATGTTATGTAGGAACAACTTACAAGAATTTGAAAGGTGCAAGTAACCAAATATGTTGTACTTTTATGTTTGGTAGCACACAAGGTTGAAGTAATGAAGTTAAAGTTATGGGACCATTGAGCAGAGTGGGGTAGATAGGTGTTAATGGTATTAGTGCATAATGTGTGAACAGCAATAATGCACTGAATTTTTAGCTGGCTTGAATCAGGCTACTGTCTGATTGCTACCAATATTTCAGAAAGGGTATCTTTTACCTTGATACTTATTTTCATATCTAGGTGCTATGTGTAATTTGGCATCACATTTTGGATCCCACTAGATTTTATTACCATGCCATTGGTTTTTGTGCTTGTTGACTGAAAAGTATGTGCATTGAAGTGTGTGAATTGCACTACTAGTAAGTAAATAGTGAAAGGGATAAAATTAGAGATGACAAATAGACATGTCTGTCTGAAAAAAACCTTGATGGTGTAGGGTTTTGCGTTGTAGACATAGTTGACATTACTTTCTATGAAGAATATATATGAATATATTTTTAGCATTGTGTTGTTAGAATGTGTTGCTTTTTTATTGTACAATTTTGGAATGAAAATATCTTTTAATCATATATATGATGTAACTCAAGAAAAATGAAGAATATTTAGAAATACAAGCCATAAGCTATGGTAAATAATTTCAGATTGTCCTATTCTAGATAATGCATGCCATCAAAGCATAAAAGCTTGATTTGAGGGTAATCTCTTGAAGAAATTCTCGGCGCTCCAAGTTCCGCCGCTTCGATAGCTTGGATGTCTTAGATAGTACATGATCCAGATGAATATGATAACTTGCAAAGGAAGAAACATTGTAACAACAAAACCAACAAAACAGAATAACAAAAATAATTTTGTAGCTCTTGGATCTCTCCAGCTACACAGAGATTGTAGCTTTTCTCCAATGGTAGCCAAATGAGAAACCTTTCTTTGTGCGTTTCTTGCAATGATTCTCAACCTGTCATATCGTCTTCTCAAATGTTCGCCTCTGGTTTGAGTAGGAAAGAAATCAAGTTCTTCCTCTATATCTTCGGTATTTGTTGTATCTGCGCCGGACAATGTTTCATCTATGTGACATGGATGTTTAGGCCTATTGAAATAATTCTTCAAACCAATCCAAAAAAAGTAGAAAATCACTAGAGATAACATTGGTTGGGGATGCAAAACCACAAGAATGCAAAGAAAATGAAAAAGCAATGTTGCAATTGGATTCTTCCATTTCTTTATGTCTTCTAACCATTTCCAAAACACAACAAAACCGCCTAAAAAGCTCATGATTCTGTTATAATTTGCTATTCCTTTTCTCATACTCCATAAATCCGACCTCATATCGAGCATATACGATACAACCTCTTTCCTAAGGGGTGGTTCTGCTTTGCTTAAACTCCTTGCTATAACATGAGCAGCTTGACTTTGTAAATTATCAAGCTGCGTAGACGACAAGGGTAATAAATAATGTACTTCGTTGAACAAAGGTGCTTTGTAAATTCGATACATAGACCAAAACGACCAAGAAAACCTCACTGCTAAATGGATTTCTCCCATCTTATTCATACCAGAAGGTTGCAAACCTATAAGAGGGTAAGAATGTGTATAGACTTTACCGCGTTCAAGTGTCGATAATCGAATCCTTATCTTCGCCATTATTGTATCTCTTACACCTCTACCTCTACTCTCAGTGTTTAACTGATTGTTATCAAACACTGCAATGGTAATGACTGTGAATGACTCGTAAACTTCCCAAACATATTGCTCGTTCCAATTTGGCGAGAGACTATCAACAATAGTTCTCGTCCTCACCCATTTCGGTCCATATTTTGCCACACAATATGCATCGGTTCTCCCTCCAATCTTCATCGGCATCAAATTAGTCGCCTTTAGAATTCCAAGCTCCAAAACACCAATGCTTGATTTCCAAAGCTTTTTCGATGAAGGCCTAAAGTCACTACTATATTCAAGAGGCTCATCCATCACATGATAAGCACCGTCTAACGAAATTCTCGCATTCAACTTACTAGCAAACTTTACCTCCGTTGCAGTCTCTATAACTCCCGGCCTATTAAGGTCATACCATAAACTTTCTACCGGTATAGGTTCTAATCTCTTTTCCACATCTTTCAAATTAATCTTATACGTTCCCAAACTCACATGATCAACTAATGTTCCTTGCTCAACACTCAAGAAAATTGTTTCGTCGAATGGCTCGTGCGCAACAAACATCAAATCCTCATTCCAAAATGGTTTTTCACTCTTAATCTTGGAAAAACTAGTTCTCAAACGCAAACTCCCTAAATCAACTTGGACAAAAATGTCCGAACTTTTAGGATCAAATCTCAACAACAAATCATGTGCTTGAATCACATTAACCCTAAGATACCAAAGACTAGGAGACATATACACCTTAGAACGAGTATAACCAACCGCATCACCACTTATTCTCGTCGAATCCGAACACCACGCGTGCGAAAAACACTCATCCGCTTGTGTTCCAATCCACAAAGACAACATGATAGCCCCTCTAACAAGATTCACACCATTTTGATCCTCTAATCTATACCATTGAGGCGCCAACATAGACTCCGGCGAGACTCTTTTCGGAATTTCCCCAACATCAAACTGAACGCGACCGATAAACTCACGCGACATATCTCTAACCTCGATCTTATCCCTGACCATAACATCTACTTTGGTGCAATGAATCTTGTCTTTTTCAAAAGCAAACACTTGGTTCAAAAATGAAGTGTTGTCTAAGAAAATAGTTGTTGCTTTCATGTTTCCAAGTTTAACTTCTACATAAAGGTTAGGGTTATAAGGAAAGTCTCTAACCCTAATAACCTTTACAAATAAGAAGTTCATCTCTTCAACAAGATCATATCTCTTTGTAAGCTTGTCACCTTCTCTTGCAGCAACATTGTTAAGACCAGTTTCTTTTGGTGCAGAATCATTATTCTCCATTTTTCAAACAACCTATGAAATACGAACAGTAAAAAAAAATACCGACACAGATTCGACAACACTGATAATAATTTAAAAAAGGGTCTTGCTAACCAATGCCCTCAGGGCATTGTTTAAACATTTTATATTAAGAAATTATTCTTTAAAAAATTCAAACACTTCAATTTCCAATGCACATTATTACACATCATTGCACGTACTTTTATAAAAACTTAATATTTAAAGTTTTAAAAAGTGCCCTGAGGGCACTGGTTAGCATTTCCCTTTAAAAAATTGAATAAATTAAACATAATATAAATATTAGTGTACACATTTTTCAGAAATGTCAGTGCTACATAATAAATAATAAATAACGCGTAAATAAAAATATGTTAAATATTTTTTAATGATTATTTTTTTAAAACATACTGATAAATATTTATTAAATAAATTCAGAATTTGAGAAACATACCTATAAATAATGACTTGTAAACGTTCTAGTTGCTCTTCCTCTCTATGATCTTCCACTCATTTTCTCTTTTATTATTTTCTACTGAATCAAAACTCCAATATAGAAAAATTATCGAAACTCCACCGCAGAAAAATTAATTATGTGAAAAATAATAAAATTCCTAACAATTACTCCTTTTTGCGTGTTAAGTTTTTGATATTTATATAAAATTTTGAAGGTGTAGGTAACTCTGAAAAAAAAAGTATAAATTGATTGTGAAATCAATCACATTGATAGAATCAAAATAATACACATATGAACAAAATGTTAAATTTATTTATTAAATAAATTCATGAAATATTTAGAAATAAAGTATCTGAGTAGAAGAGAGCGCTAATTATGAGTTGGATTTTATATTTTAATTGTATTTTTTATCGTCAGATTATTATATATTTAAGTTATTATATTTTAGTAAAAATTTTATATAATGATCTGATATTATTTAATTTATATCTCACACGTCCTACTTAAATATTATATTTTAAAAATGAAATCTTTACCATAACTTAAAATTTATAAAATGACTGAAAAATAATATACACATTAAAGACATCTTTACAATAAATCTTATACAGTTTTTTGATAAAAAAAATATTAGAATAATTTTAAAAAAAATTTTAGGTAACAAGGTGAAAAAAGGTATAAATAGATTGTGAAATCAATCACGTTAATAGAATTAAAATAATATATAAAAATAAAAATATGTTAAATTTATTTATTAAATAAGTTCAGAAATATTTATAAATATATTGGTCGAAGAAGGGAGAGCTGATTATAATTTGGATTTTATATTTTAATTGCTTTTATTTCTGTGAAATTTTTGTTAATAAAATTATAATACTATTAAGTTACTAAATTTTAGTAAAATTATTATTGATCTAAAACATTATTCAATTTATTTCTACTTGGATATTATATTTCAAAATGAAATCTTTAACATAAATTAAAATTTACAATCCGACTTAAAATTAACAGAAATATTAATGATATTTAACTATTAATATTTTTTTTATATTTGTAATAAACCTTATACAATTATTTGATACTATAAAATATAGGTATAAATTTTTTTAAAGTGTAGGTAACAAAGGAAAGAAAAATATAAATAGATTGTGAAATCAAACACGTTAATATAATCAAAATAATACACCTGAATAAAAATATGATAAATTTATTTATTAAATAAATTTAAAAAATATTTGTGAATAAAGTATCTCAGTGAAAAGGAGTGCTGATTATGGGTTGGATTTCATATTTTAATTGCCTTTTTTTTGTTGAGAAATTCATACGTAAAAATTTATTATAATTTAAATTTTAGTAAAATTGTTATATATTGATCTAAAACATTATTTAATTTATTCCTAACTCGTTCAAAAATATTTTAACATAAATTAAAATTTACAATTTGACATAAAATTACCACACACTAATAAAATTTAATTATCAGTACTTTACCTTTTTTTTTATATTTACATAAATCTTATACGATTTTGTTATAAAAATATAAATGTATAAATATTTTTAAGGTGTAGGTAACAAGGGAAAGAAAGATATAAATTGATTCTAAAATCAATAGAATCAAAATAATATACATAAATGAGAATATATTAAATTTATTTTTTAAATAAATTCAAAAAGTAGTGGTAAATAAAGCCTCTAAGTGGAATTGAGCGGTGATTATGAGTTGGATTTCGAATTTTAATTGTTTTCTTTGCGAGATTTTTTTATATAAAAAATATAACTGCTTTTAAATTATCAAATTTAAGTAAAATTGTTATATAGTAATATAAAGCATTAGTGAAATCTATAACATAAATTAAAATTTACATTTCAACTGAAAAATTAACATGACACATTAATAATGTTTATATATTATTGTTTTTACCATTTGTTTATATTTACAATAAATCTGATACAATTTTGTGATACAAATTTATAAATAATTTTTTAAAGGGTAGGTAACAAAGAAAAAAAAATATTAATTAATTGAGAAATCTTTTATCTTTTACGCGCGTTAGCGAAATAAAAAGAACATACAATCGGATTTATGTTTGTCTAGACTAATTTATTATATCTCAATAATATTATTTTTAAGTAAACATATGTGAAACAACATACAAATTAACATAATAAAACGAACAGAAAAACGAGAGTTTATATAAATAAATTTTTTACTTAATTTATCTCTAACACAGTAAATTGTTAATGGTTTCATGTGTGTTTCAGACAAACAAATACTGCTCTGAAGGAAGGCAGTGGTTTCATGTGTTGAAAGAAAAAAATTGTTAATGGTTATCAAAATAGTTAAAGTAGAATAAGTAAGACTTATTCTTCATACCTTTTGTTATAAAAATTCAAATTTTTTCCTTATAGATCATAGGTGTGTGATATCAGATGTTTATATCACATTTATATGAATGTGAAGAATCTTTAGATAGGTAAGACATTGACTATATTTGTAGCCAATCTATGTCTATATTGTAACTTCTTTCATTGACCATGCTTAGACTTAGATTAGAGTTTGGAATGAAGGTAAAGAATTGTTATTAAGTTCCATTTAGTAAAAGAAACATTAATTATAATAATGTAGTTGTATTACCTATTTTCATATGTGATATAAAAGTTGGAAATGCACTCATTGACTTGGATGGCAATGCAAACTTAATACCATTTATTGTATTTTAAAATATCAGTGACCTCCAAATAGAACCAATCATGACAACATTAAAAATGGTTGACAAGACACCCAGGAAGCCAGTGGGAATAATTAAAGATGTTATGATTAAAATTGGCAAATTCTCATTTTGTGTTGATTTCATGATGTTGGGCGTCGAGGAAGATCTGATGATACCTTTTATCTTAGGAAGACCCTTCATGAAGATCACAAGGATGCTCAGGGATGTTAACAAATGGCAAGTGATGGTAAGGATCAAATATCACGAGGTATGTTTTCATATGATTGGTAATAAACTAACATTAAAGGTGTCAATTTAATGATGTTAAACAAAGCGCTTCCTGGGAGGCAACCCAACCCATTTTTGAAACTTTTTACAGTTATGTTAGATTTTCTTTACCACTAATCACCAGTAAAAGTGTTAGAAACTCCTTGTGTGCCAAAATCTTAGAGTTCCTCGCTAAGCACACTTTGGAATAGGTTAAGTCCCGCTTAGCAAGTTTTGTCCAAAAGCACAAATTGAAAAATGCTTAAACCCGCTTAATGGGGTAAAATCCCGCTTAATGAGAGACCCGTTATAGAACCTTAGGAAACAAAGTCAAAATTTAATTCACTCTTATAAAACATTTTCAACTATTTTTTCACAACACCCACACGCGAAAACCTTAAGAAAAGCTAAGAGAAATGCTCTCATCATTTGAATTCAAAATAATATCATCAAATCTATTATTTTCTTTTCAATTTGAGAATAACTTAGGTACCTCAATCTACTTCAAAGCCTCTGCATTGATTTCCTATGTCTAACAACACGAATCTTGTTGCAAAAATTTAGTATTTTCCTAATTTAGAAATGAAATGTGAATAACATGATTGCTTCATTATTGTTAATTTTATGTTAAGAAACAATCCATGCATGTTTATTAGAATTGGTATAACACGATGAACATTGGGGTTTAAGACCGATAATTGGCATGATTATATAATATGACCTCTGGGTTGCTATGAATAGGAATAAATAGACAAAATCCATCTAGCTTGATTATTGGTTGGTTGTATGTTGTTAGAAACAAGTAAGACTTACAAGACCATAGTCAAAAGCATGTTAAACCTAGATTTCCATCTTTCATATTGAAACATCATGCATTGTGAGTAAAGAGAGGCTAGACTTTTTTTAGTATTTAATTATACTACCTGACAAAATTTCTATTTGTGCACGTTGTTAACTAAATGTTGCAAATGGTTCTAAAGAAATAAATCGTAGGATGGAAAAAAAAACATAATAGGGTCATTTGGAGTACCTTGTGATGGTCAGAAATATAGAAGTTAGGTACATGAAGAATTTTGTATTTAATTGGAAAGTTGAAACATGGTACCAGAGTGGATAGTTGAACTAGAAGATTAGGGGAACTACTAATGCATCATGCATAAAATCAACATTAGAGGTTTGGGTATTTTTTCACTTCCTCCCGGGCACATTAACCTATACATCATTTGAGAGTTTTATGTAAATGCCAATCCATGTGAAGATTCACCTTTTGCATAATTAAATTGGATAAGAGGGCAAGTAATGACATTTGATAGAGACATCCTTCATGCCTATCTTGAAGATAGTTATGTGGCTGATCCAAAAATATTAGATCCTTTTTCTAAATAGTTAGCAATAGGTAATTGGGATTATGATCGAATAGCCACATACATATGCGAGGCTAAGAAAACCTATGAGGAATGACGAGATATGAAACCCAACTACTTCAAGAGAGTCTACCTATCCATTCAATCCTAAATTTATATGATATTCATTCTCATCGACATTACCCCTGAAGAGTCATACTTCCT